GATCAGCACACAGCTGAAGCAATCATTCCCCATTGTCCGTACGTACCGAGTCCAGTCCATGTCGACCTCATGCTCCAAAGGCATTCGTTCACATATATCAAGTATGCAGATAACAGCCTTGAGGGAGAGGCTTGTCGGCAGGCTTTTCTTGGTCTGGTTGTGAAGTCATCGCAATGCGATTATGATAACCTAAATGGTTCTGCCTCACGGTACTGCATGCCTTTCGAACCTGCGGCGTGAAGTTCTGCTGCAATACTGGGTGGGCTCGAACTCTAACGTCGTGCTTGCGGATGAGCCGACTTAGGTAGTAGACACATTTGTCTACCTGGGAAGCTGTATCGGCCCTGTAAGGCATTGCCGAAAATATCTCTACCCAGATTGGGAAGGCCAGAGCGCTTTTGGCGGAACTGCATCACCTGTGGCGTAGGCGTGGCATCAGCTTAGTCGTCAAGGGTCGAGTTTACAATTCTATGGTGCGCTCCATATTATTATACGGGCCAGAAACTGGGCGACTGCGCTCTGAAGACATCAAAAACCTTCAATTTTGACCGCTGATACCTGTGGAGCATTGCCCGAGCCTGGTGGGAACACCGGATCTGTAATGCTGAAATAGGTCGAATGGTTTTTGGAGATGGCTCGCCCATGATAGATGAACTGATCACACCACATAGGTTGCGCTGGATTGGTCACGTGCGCCATATAACAGGTAAACAAATTTGTCTACGTCAATTAGGTAGTATGTAAGCATGAAGTTTTGGGCTCGACCTCATCGACACTCCGCAAATTTGAAGTGCGTACCGAAACGTGGCGCTGAATCACTTGGATTTAAAATGAAGGATCCGAACTAAGGAGAGCAACATCGGTCGCATGCTAAATGTCTATCAGCGAACGCCCCGGGACTGGTGCCATCCCGGTTCTGAAAGCGATCACAATAATTTCAAGGAGCATTACATTAACGAAGTAGGAGGAAGGTGAGGAGAAGGTAGTCTCGTCTATTACACTGGAAGTGGTGAACTTAGGCGAAAGCTTGTTGTACACCCATTCCACATCCCAAGAGTCGACTTAATTGTCACAGCTGGCGATATTTCATCTTTTGAATTATATGGTGAATAGTTTCCCAGTGGGTGCCCCCATTCCCGACGTAGGCCATGCAGCTGGTTTTCACTAGTCAAATGCTTGAAGAAGGCGCGCTACTCCACAGCTGAGATCATCACGCAGCATCCTCTTCATGTTGTACCTTCTGCATCCTGATACCCGTTCAAACGTGGTACCATCTTATATCGTACTTAAAGGCATAACTGTGCGTACTCATTGATCTTACTTAATTTGGCACTCACATTCTCTCACTTTTGTTTCATTTACCTTGATCGACCTCCACCAACAAAGTCTTGCCTTAAGTGACCAAAGCCAAATGGCTGACTACTTACTTTGCCTTAAGTGACCAAAGCCAAATGGTTGACTACTTTCCAACTGCACTACTTTAACCAAGCCTCCTTTGTTAGAACTGTCCACCGTGGCTTTGAACACATCCTAACAGCTCATATGGCCTATTTGGTTTATCCCGGTTGACTTCGTTCTCCTTAACAAGCATGCTGATTTTGTTGCACACTAGGTAGAACGTCTGAGCACATGCCTTTTTGTGGCATACCCCGCATTTTACTGAGTCACCTCCTGAGGGATTAACGGCCGCAACCACGAATATCACTATTACCACAACTTTTCGGCTTTTCATTTTTGGGACCTATGAAGATCTCACGAGAGATTTCGTAGGATTTTAATAATAAATATAACCTTATATTGGTTTACGTGCATTGCAACGGCGTTTTTCACTGTTTGTTCCAGTTGTACTCCGTCTTGGTCTAAGGTGCGTTTTTTTAAATATAATCCCCGGTGACTCAGCCTCTACATGCACGTGATGCGAGTGTTGTTGATACAAATCAGTGACACCTAATGCGACTATGTGTAACCATATCGTCGCAAATGAGGTATTTATCGTGCAGGTCCCATTTGTATGGGACAAACCAACAAGAGACCGTTTACAAGGCTGTGGTAATAGCATCAGCCCGCAACCACACTACTGCCCTTCTTATTCAGCTCTGAATAGAGATAAAAATCTTCAAGAACGAAGTTGACAAATCCTAATATATGGACCTGAGGATTTTAAATTTTTTTAGTGCTCTCTCTGCGAAGTTTTGATTCAAAACAATTGCCTACATTTTATACGCTATTAAATTTGAAAACTTTTTCTTCAGAGGATCGCATGTGCATATCCTGTGACAGGTTAACTTTCACGCTTCTATTGGCTTTACTACCTGATTCGAACTGAAGCATGCAACCGTTTTTAACAAATAACTTACAAACGTAATACCCAGCGAACCCGGCTACCTTCGCACGGAATAGTGGGTCCAAGTAATCTGGAGTAGATAAGTATACGTAGAAATAATTGACCATCCTGTCCGATGGGACCAACAATGTAGGCTATGAACCCGAATCAAGTGATTGGCTGTATCAACCTCATTGCTCCAATTGGCTTAGCGATTCATAACCGATGACGGTAGACAGGCCCAACGGATTCTGCAGGCGCACACAGTAAATGTCATTCAAAAAATGAAAATACTGGCAAAACTAAAAACCCATGGTGAGTGATTTGTCATCAGGATCACGGGTATCGGAGCCTTCTTGTGGAATATGTAAGTCAGTAGCCTCATCGTTGTCTTCGGTGGGCAGTGTGAAAATAGGGTTGATGATCACTGTAAATGATCAGTACTGAAGTTGCATATAATTGTCCTGTTGGGATAAATAAATCCATAGCGGGATTAAACCTCATCTATTTGAAACAACCAGGGCTATATACAGATTAAAACCAATGTCAGATATTGAGAAGCGAATGAAAATTTCACGGTGTTTTCCTTCCACATATTTCGTCCACGCTTTTAAGATCTTCTGCCCGTTTGCAACGTTTCTCGTTTTCATCTTTTGTTTTTCATGCTGCCTTTGTTTTTGGTTACATGGATCGCAACCAACATGTGGATTGCGCTGTGAGGCAAAGCAGACTGCTGCACATGAGTACCTGGGCCTTTAGTCCACTGCCGTCTACCGAACGGACCTCAGTGATATTAACGACCTTGGGTTTCACGGGCTAGAGGTGCATAATGTCATTCTTGGAGACGGATGGGCTGGTTCTACTGGATTAAATCTAACAAGAATTGTCGATCTAGAGATGGCCCAAGTCTCGCTTTTGAAATCTTAGATGCTTGAACGCTTTTCCAATCGTCAGATCAACGTTTTCCGCCCAGTTAAGGCTTCTGTAGATGAGCATCACTTGTTCGCTATTGTAATCCAATGGAGTACCAACCAAATGGTAGGTGTATGCCTGTTTAGATGATATCATGTTACTGAGTGCTGAGAATTATCCTTGGACGTCAAAGAAGAAAGTTCAGGTTATTCTGAGTTCAGTGCTGAGGACTGAGGCGCATATTTTGATGCCATCAACATGGGCTGACCAGGATAAGCGAGATAATGTGTTAAAGGTTTTCTTGAGCATTTAGTAGTTTGGGACAAGGAACATGTCCCTTACGGATTCCAAAATATTCTTGCTTCGTATCAGGTTGCCGCCTGAGCCAATTATCAATATTCCTTCGTCAGACATCTCTAGATTTCCTGAAGAGAAGGTGCCATGAGTTTTCTCTTGAGTTGAAATTACTCAACGGCAAGCAATGATCTGCTTCTGAAAATTTTCTCAGACTGCCCTCTTGTTCTTGTTTGTTCGTGGCGCTTGACCTACAGGTTACAAAAGTGTGACCACTGCCAAAATGATAATTGATGTTTCTTGGAAAACTGGTTGCGAGTGAAAGTATACAATGAATTGGCGGCCGCAACAACGAATAGTTTTGGACATATTGGAAGCATCTGGTGGCCAGTTGTTATCTGGTGCCCGTCTGCTCCCATATGTGTGATGGGTTTGGACACGATGTCGACGCCAGTGCGGCAAAGTTTGCTAGATGACAAGACAAAATGACGGTGTTTCGGTGAGTCTTTCGCTAGGCGGGCAGTGGAACATCGGAATTAAGCCTGAAAAATAACGAAAATGAGTTCATTTTCTGGAAAGACGTTCCAATTTTCAGAAAAAACCCTCTGTGCAGAAAGTTGAGAGTTACTTTACCATGGGGCATTTATATGTATATTCGCTCCAGCCAGGAGGCAATATGATCTACCTCACGATTTTTAGGCTTTGTTTCAAGCAGTCTCTAATGGTAAGCTTGACGTCCATTCAGCTTCATTGTTGCACTGGCATGACTCCGCATGTTGTTGGTTTGAGTTCAGAGAGGTTTGTTGAGAAGTCGACAATAGCCCGGATTCCACCCTTCACAAAATCCGAGATGTCGACAGAATAACAAAAGGATAATTATGTGACGTTTGTGCGTACAGCTGGCAAAAAATCAGCAAATCTGCTTTAAGTAGCCGCACAATAAATGCAGCGAGTAATCCCGATAAAACGCGCAAAAGTTGATAAATCAGAAGCTGATAATTCAAGCTCAGATGGCAGCTAGTACGC